CCACAGACCTAGTCCAAGAGTTCAGTGCCCCTTTTTCAGGGGAAATATGGCCCCGCAGGTCTAGTCCTGTTTAGTGGATAGAGGCCTGAGTTTAGTGGCCTAAAAGTGGCCAGTGTGCTCTCCCTGGCTGTTGGAGAGCCTACCATCAGTTGGGGTGAGGGTAGGGGGACCTGGGCCCTTCCACTCCACCAGGTCCCAACCCAGGACCCTGTTAACATTGGTAACTGCACTGCCAGCTCAGCGGGAAGTCCGCCCAAAACATGCTGAGCTCCCAGAGGGGCATCCCTCCACCCTGGACCCCTTCCTACTGTCTCTAATGGGGTTCAGTCTCCGGAATGGGGTACGATGTACCTGACCCTTGCAGCTGTCCCTCTGTCACAGGGTAGTCTCTGGGGTCACGGCAGTAGCACCTGCAATGGGATGAGCGGCTCCAGAGAGGACTGCGGCTGTGACAGCTGTTCAGTTTGTTCCTCCAGCAGCAGCTGTGGCTGGGTCTGCTGCTGGGGTTGCTGCTTGGAAGACGGCTGCTCCAGCCTGAACTCCCTTCCTGCTTGCAGCTCCCCCTGAATGAGCTGGCCTCAGGCATTTTATACAGTCCCTGCAGCGGAGCATGCCCAGTTAGCTGAAAGGGGAGGTGCTTTCTCCACCCATAAGCCTTTCACTCCCCCTCTCTCTAGTGTGGGGTATATCCACCCCATCACAGTGGGAAATAGTCACTGTGAATTGTGGTTCAGCTGCTGTGCGTTGTGGGATACCTGTACATTACTCTCTCATGCCATTTATGAGCTAACCACAGCAAACATGGCTACAACACAGAGGAATTGTGGCCTCTTCTCTACTGAGTGGATGATCCTGTTGCATTTGTAAAGACATAGATAGCATGTAGACAAAGTCAGGCAAGCATGACTAGACAGGGAATGCAGAGGCTACACTGTAGCACACAGCTGCACTTGATGGGAGCAGGGGTCTTGGGCCCATTCAACTGGCACAGGGTGGGCGGGACCTGTTTATGATGAAACACAGGGATAATCCGAAGTGATTCCAGAACTTCTAGAGCAGGGGTAGGGAACCTAAGGCCCCGGGGCAAGGTGTGGTCCCTGGGTTGCCTAGGTCTGGGCCCCAGGGCTCAAGGCTCCTGCCCCAAGCACTGAAGAGCCTGTACTGGCACTCCAGCCCCCACTGCTCCCCACCTAACTGATTTTTCTGTGGGTCAGCATCCCTTGACCCAAAATAGGTTCCCTGCCCCTGTTCTAGAGGAAGAAGGCTATATTGTGTACTGAGCTTGCCCGTGCCTTGCAACATAGAAAAATCACATTGATATCTGCCTTGCTAGTTGAGAATGAATAACAATAGCCATAGGGAAACCCCAGATTCTATTGGTTTGGCATTGAAACCCATGGAAGTGGTGGTTATCATTAAGGTATTCAAGGTGTCTTCCTGTGCAGGGCAGTCAGGCTAGGTGAAATGCCATAAATGACAATGGATTCAGTCAGCCTTAACTGTGCTGGAGTGATCGGTGGGACTGTCTCCCAATTCTGCTTCCCGTCATTCCTAGCCTCCATGTAGCTAAACCCAAAAAGAGATTATCTCAGTATTTATGTAGGCCTTGGTGGTTCACTGTGGACAATTCACTGACAAATGTTGGCTGGTTAGGAAAGGTCCATAATGCCTTGATTTTTACAATCACTGATCTTCTGAAAACACTGACTTTTTTCTTGGTCCCTCCAATTGACATTGAGGGGGTTTATGCTCCATTAATAATTCAAGGTGACACTGCCCACCTTTTATTTCCCTGGCTCCTAAAGCTATATGCTGGCAAGCTGGACAGCTGCACATAAAATGTTAACTGTTTCCTGAGCAGGGGCCAAATGAAGATGGAATGTGTCTGTGGGGCACAGAAAGGAGGTGGAGGTATGAGTAGTTGCTGAAGATAAGGCTCTGGTGACAGGCCCCACCTACAGCTCCACCTCCCCATCATGGGGAGGTGAGGGAGGAGGGCGCATGCCCCAGCCCAGAGCCCTGGGGAGAGAGGAGGGCGTGCAACTCGAGCACGCTGGGCCTGGAAAACAGAGGCGGCAGGCTTTCAGGAGCAGTAACACCCTGCTCAATATGCCTACAGCAGGCATTCTGGGGACAAAATGTGGGTGGGGCCAGGCCTGGGGGTTTGGGAAGGCAATGCCTTCCCCTGACTAGGATACTGGATGCCCGTCGGTCGAGGTCTCTCATAATGAGACTCAATCTCACTGAAAAAATAGTCCAACCATTATTGCTGCATGTTGTGCATTGAATATGATCTGGGAGACTAATAGTGGGTGAGTGTGGTAGACAGACTGTTTGATGGATTCAAGCAACCTGAAATTAGGTCAGTTAAAGCCCCTGACAAGAAAATTCAAGTGAAGGCAGCTAACAGCTGACTTTGACAACTGGTATATTGTATTTTTACATTCACCTTTTCTGGAGTATACGTGAGTCAATGAATGAATTTTAAGGAATATTTTATTGAAGTCTGGAAGATTGACACTCTATGCATGTAAGCTTTAGAAGAATAACTGCTGATGTAATCGAGACTGAACTAGAAGCAATTGCTTCTATAGACTTTTTAAAAACTCTTACGTTTTTTAAAGTATAGAATGGAAGCCTTTTTTGATACAAGAATTATGCTACAGGTCTTGCAGTACTTCACTATACACAATACCAGAAACCACAAAACAGAAGTACATCAATTTTCAAACAACTTTATCAGCAGTGCAGCCTGCCAGGATAAAAGAAAAGTCTTGTGGCTTTGGTGTTGTAACTTGATATATTTATTTTCTGAGGTCCTTCCATCTGTGACAAAGCTGGAAAGACTCTGTGCTTATGAGGCAGAAACACAGTACTGTTGTCTAATCTGTTGCATATGGAAAGAAGAATCTGCCTTCTAGGATTATCCTCTCCCTCTTCTGTGTTCCCCTGTCTAGATGTGCCAGGTGTAGGTCCCAATCTAGCCCTGTCTCTCTTTTGGCTAGTGATGGTGGACAAGCTGGAGGGCTTGAGGAAGAAACAACTGGAAGATCTTTTGGACAACAGGCTATTTATTTATCTCTTCTTCACTTTGAACTGAAAGATGAGAGATCCAAGTGTCATTTTCATTTGGCAAGCTGAGATATTCTGGAAACCCTGACTAAGCATGTTTCTCTCAAAGCTCAAATCATTTTGCCTTCCCTTGCCATCTGCCCTTGGGCTTGATTCAGATACACTGGTTATTTTCAAGAAAGCTTCTGTAGACTTTAAGTAATATTTATCCTCATTTTAAAAGGAACTGGCATAAAAGGGACACATTTTCAGAAGCTAACCAGTGCACACCCCTTTAAGCATGTACACTGATTAGTTTCATAGGATACTTGAAATATAACCAAGACACTTTCACATGACTGGTCTTTTAAAGGGAACTGGTCTCACTTCTGATTGTAGCTAGTTATTTACCCTCCAGGTGCTGGGTTGGGGCTTCAACAAGTAGTTGGTTTAGGTGACTAGGCATTATTTTTATAAGACAGAGCCTGCACCATCAGGGAGAGGTCTAGAGGTGAACTATAACTGGAAATGGACGCACAGAGTGTCCCTTCTCAAACAGATTTGGTGAGCTGAGAGATCTTGAGCCTGATACAAGGGTAAAGAAGAGGAAATTTGCAGAGAAGCACCAGCCAGGCACGCAGGGTCAGAGCATTGGGGAAGAAGTTTTCAACACCAGACAGAAAGAAAAAACCTGGCTAGAGATACTTGTGGTGAAGAAGCAGGAGCAAAACCCTTCAGAGGAGGCTAGAAGTCCACGAGGGCAAAATGGCTTGGTGAGCCTGGAGAAGAATACAGAAAATTTTAGCTTTGAGTTAAGATATTGTTTTATGTTAATAAGCCAGACACCATAAAGAGATATAATTCATGAGACAGCCTGCATCCCATTATTGGGAAGCCCCAAAAGGGGTAAGCAACAGGGTCAAATGCCAGATGAGGTAGGATGATATAACATCAATACATACTTGTTTTATGTTAATATGCACTTCATATTCTATTTGGTATAGCTTCCTTAGCTCTGTAATCTGTCTCACTTCTGATGAGATCTAGCTTCCCTTCTTAAATGGAACAGAAGGTGACATTTATATGAAAAGAGTTACCTCCAACCATGCAGATTCATTAATAATTTAGGTATTCATCAAACTGAAATATCATTCAAGTTCATCTGAATTTAATCCATTGCATAGGCAAAATAACCTACAAATCAAAACACTGAGGCTGTGTCTACATTGGCACCCTTTTCCGTAAAAGGGATGCTAATGAGACACTTTGGAATTGCAAATGCCGCAGGGGATTTAAATATCCCCAGCGGCATTTGCATGAACATGGCTGCCACTTTTTTCCGGCTCGGGGTTTTGCCGGAGAAAAGTGCCAGTCTAGACGGGATCTTGCGGAAAATAAGCCCTTTTCCGGAAGATCCTTTATTCCTGCTTTCAAGGGATCTTGCGGAAAAGGGCTTATTTTCCGCTAGATCCCGTCTAGACTGGCGCTTTTCTCCGGCAAAACCCCGAGCCAGAAAAAAGCAGCAGCCATGTTCATGCAAATGCCGCGGGGGATATTTAAATCCCCCGCGGCATTTGCAATTCCGAAGTGTCTCATTAGCATCCCTTTTACGGAAAAGGGTGCCGATGTAGACACAGCCCGAGAGTGCAATATCATGGCTCTAAAGGCTGTGATCTCTTCCCATTCAACTTGACCTCAATATTTATGAAACCATGCACATCATACTAGCTGAATTCTTTTGGCTGGGTTATAATTTTGTGACAGCTTTATCCAGACACAGAAGTCCCTAAACACTGAGGAAAAGTGTAAAAACAAGTGTTCCTGTGTTCTGTAATACAGGTAATAATAGTGCAGCAACTGGATATATATATAAAAAGCATTTGTACACTGAATTCCACTCTGCCCTCTTTTTTCTTATGCTGTCTTTACTCTTTTCTTTTCACATGAAGGTACAGACAATCCAAAAGCAAAAACAAATTGTCCAGAGGAGAAACTGACTGATGTTTTCAAGACATTGCCCTGCAATATTCCCTGCGAATTCACAGAGCATGGGCACTTTACCAGTGGTTCCCAACCGTTTTTATACCGTGGACCGGCAAACTCGTTCACAAACTTTTGGTGGACTGGTAACATTTTATTTGAATATTTGAATATTCATTATGGTAATTCACTTTAAGAGGTTACCTGTTATTTTATATTGCATCTGTATGCATACAATACATGTCTTTGTAACTGAACAGGCTACGTCTAGACTGGCATGATTTTCTGCAAAGGCTTTTAATGGAAAAGTTTTTCCGTTAAAAGCATTTGCGGAAAAGAGCGTCTAGATTGGCACGGACGCTTTTCCGCAAAAGCGCTTTTTGCGGAAAAGTGTCCTTGCCAATCTAGACGCGCTTTTGCGCAAGAAAGCCCCGATCATCATTTTCGCGATTGGGGCTTTTTTGCACAAAACAATACTACGTTGTCTACACTGGCCCTCTTGCGCAAAAGCATTTGCACAAGAGGGGTTTTGCCCGAATGGGAGCAGCATAGTATTTCCGCAAGAACACAGACAATCTTACATGAGATCGTCAGTGTTCTTGCGGAAATTCAAGCAGCCAGTGTAGACCGCTGGCAAGTTTTTTTGCAAAAGCAGTTGCTTTTGCGGAAAAACTTGCCAGTCTAGACGCAGCCATCAGAGTTTTCAGATATCTACACTAAAAAAATTCTGTTAAAAGAATCCTTTCCTTTCTTATCTTAAGCCATTAACACCTATGTAAACTTTGTTTGAAATGTAATCATGCAACTGTCATGAGTTAGGCCTTTTGTTCTGCCTGCAGCCCAGAGGGAAACAAGTTAGACACCCCAACATTCCCTCTGTCCCCACCTCACTGCAGTCCCCACCCCTGGCAAAAGGGAGAGGTACACATCTAGGCCTCCCAGCCTGCATGCACCACACGGGAACTGGGCAGAACAGCTCCAGCCTACCTGGTATGCCTGGGGAAGGCAAGAGCAGTGGCAGGATGCTGCCACCCACCTCCAGGACCGGGGGACACATGGGGCAGGCAGGAAGGCCTCACATCTCCGCACGGGGCCGCTGTCAGCAGCCAGGCCCCTGTTGGTCCATTCATGGCTTCCCCCAGCAACAATTGGGTCTGTCCCACCCTGGCCATGCCACTGCTCCACGCCAGGAGAGAGGAGCTGGAGTTAATACTTAGTTTCAGGGACAGAGCAGCTAGTGCGCTGCAGGGGCAGGTGAAGTGCTGCAAGCCAGCTTCCTGCTCACTCCCCCTGGCAGCCCCGATCCCACACTGAGCTAGGCATGGGGGGAAGGTGGCCAAGGGCCTGGCACCTCCATTAGGCCACAGGAGAGACCAGCATAGTGATCATGGATGGGGTGTTCGCACCCTTTGCAGCCCCCTGTGTATAGGCCTGTCAAGGCATGGGTGTGGCTTGGCAGTGTGCCGCAGCCAGCAGATCACGGCCTGGCACCGGTCCTCAGACTGGTGGGTGGGAACCACTGCTTTTACCATTGGGTCTTCCATAATTTTTTAAGGATAGCTAATAGCTAATGGCTCAGATATCTCCTCAATTGGCTCCTCAAATATTCTAGGATGCATTTCATCAGGCCTTATTGACTTTAATATAAACTTTTCTAAGTAATTTTAACTTGGTCTTTTCCTATTTTAGCTTCTGAACCTACCCCATTTTCACCAGCAGTCACTATGCTAGGCATCTAATCACCACAAACCTCGGTGAAAACCGAAACAAAGACATTTAGCACCTCTGCCATTTCCACATTTTCTGTTATTGTTTTTCCCTCGTCATTGAATAGCGGTGCTACCTTGTCCCTGGTCTTCCTCTTCCTTCTAATATATTGGTTTAATGTTTTCTTGTTACCCTTTATGTCGCTAGCTACAGAAAGGTTTGTGACAGTCACCAGAATCCTGAGCCAGCTGCATGATTAAGTTAGCCCTGAGCTACCAAGATGAATGATCAGATGGTGAGCTGGGCCTGCAGCCAAAGAGAAGAAGAATGGGTCAGGCTGTGAGTAATGAAGTCTGAGACGGCACCCTGTACGGGTTCCTAGCTGTTGGTAATGACAGGGCGAGCCTCAAACACTACTCCGAAATGAATACATCTTTATAAAGAACACATGGTTGTTGGAAAGCATTCTTCTTGGGCAGTAACTAAATCATAGATACCTAAGGTGAACCTTAATGTGCATGTCACTTTCAGGCCTTTCTGAATGTTCTTGCCTCCTTTTACTGCAGGTTACTCAGCTTATCTAGTTAAGACATAATAAGACATAATAAGCTCAATAATAAGCTACTGTTATAGCTGGTCCCTGAGTTGCAAATGGTCGAGTTACGACCATTCGCATTTACGACTGCTTCAGTCGTAAATGCGGTCCCTGAGTTATGAACATGATCCGCGCTTACGAACAGCACAGTCAACGTGTAGCCAATTGGGGTCTGAGTTACGAACGCTTTGAGTTACGGCCAAGTGTTGGGTCCATAACTCATTCATAACTCGGGGAGAGGCTGTACTGACTTCTTGCTGTTAGCCAGGATGGGTAAGAATGGTGTCCCTAACCTCTGTTTGCCAGAAGCTTGGAAAGGGGTGACAGGAGGGGAATCCCTTGAAGATTTCCTGTTCCGTTCATTCCCTCTGGGGCATCTGGCATTGGCCACTGTCAGAACACAGGACACTGGGCTAGATGGACCTTTGGTCTGACCCAGTAAGGCCATTCTTATGTTTAAACGCTCAGGATAAATTCCTGCCATCGCTCTCCATCAGATTGATTTGTAGGGCAAGGAAGAGCAGTAGTAGCTGAGTGGAATGTCCAGAGCCTACTATTTACTTGTTCAGGGAAAGGTAGTTGAGGATAACATGTTCCATAGCATTGTTTAGCTCTATTCCAAAATGGTGCATGCTCCATAGCACCTGCTTCTCAACTTCATAACATGTATGTGGTGTTAAGGCATGAATCTAAGACAGGTGAACATGTACTCGCCTCACTATGGAGTGCTGGCATATGGGCAAATCTAGCCCTCCAGAAGCAATACTAACCATCTAAGGGTACATTTAGACTACAAGCCTCTTTTGAAAGAGGCTTTTTTTAAAGATACTTTCGAAAAAGCGAGCCCCTTTTTTGAAAGAGAGCACCCAGGCAGTCTGGATGGTCTATTTAAAAAAAGCACAGTTTGCATTTCATAGCAATTTTGAAAAATGGCATTATTCTTCCTAAAATGAGGTTTTCTGCGGTCGAAAAAACTGCCGAGTTCTTTCGATTTACTTTTGAAACAACGTGGCAGCAGTCTAGATGCAGGGGAAGTTTTTTCGAAAAAAAAGACCACTTTTTTCGAAAAAACCCTGTAGTCTAAAAACACCCTAACTAACTAAAATAAAAATTCACAATAGGCTTTACCAACAAGCAACAAGTTTATTCATTTTTTTTGTTTTGTTTTGTGGACAACAGCTAGAAGTTATGTACTAAGTTTGCCCAATATAGGGATGTCTTAGATTTTTTGTTTCTTAATATTTGAAACCTGTGGCATAGATAGCTGTGTTTAACTGCCATCCTTCCAGATAATATAAAGCTGGTCCCTGAGTTGCAAACGGTAGAGTTACAACCGTTCGCATTTACGACTAAAGCGGTCGTAAATGTCGTCCCTGTGTTAGGAATGCGATCCACGCTTACGAACAGCGCGGTCGCCATGTAACTCAGTGAGGTCCAAGTTGCAAACACCTTGAGTTACGGCCAAGTGTTTGGTCCGTACCTTGTTCGTAACTTGGGGAGAGGCTGTAGTGACTACATTTTGCAATGATACATCTTCCATGACTTGCTCCAGTCTGAAACATAGCTCAAATACTTTGCTTTGTTCTCAATGGAGTTGGATAACACCCCCTACCCTTTTCGTCACAAATATCCAGCAGGATTTATTGAATACAATTTTGAATTTAAAAAATGGTGAAATTGTGACTAGGTCTAATTCACAATGGCAGGGTATGTTTGTGTCCATTATGTTTCTAGCTTGGATTTGGTATGGTGTTACTATTCTGCTAATGATGCTGTCTCTCAACTGTCCAGTGAAGTTCTGCCGGAGAATTGAATGTCTGATCAACCATGGTGGTTGTTCCAGGCTCAAAAAGAATCTAATGTAAGACATGGCATGTTCAAATTCCTTGTGTGGGGTTTCTTTGTCTGTTCACTTATTATCTGTTTTAAATCAAAAGGTTTAAACCAATATGTCTAAATTGGGGGTGGAGGAATTAAAAATGAATCTACTAATTTCCTATCCGAAGATTATAGAACAAAATTTCAAATTATTGTTCACCTGAATTATTTACTATATTTTGGAATAGGGAATGTGAGATTGTTTTCCCTCTTGGGAAAGAATTCTGCCAATCTTTTAGAGCTACTTATAATAGCTTATATTAGGCATTTCTTGTTAGTCATCAGAAGTCTTCTGAATTGCAACGTGGCCAGAGTCGATCCTGTTAAATGATGTCAAGCTAGGATATTTTCTTTAAACACTTGGAAATCTTTTTAAAGTTATCCCTTCAATGCCTTGAAAACTTGTTTAGAAAACTTTCAGGTCAAATTAGTGTCCATTAAATAAATACATTTTTAACACTTTGGTTTTGTTTCCATTCCTATTATTGTTCACTAGATAAATCAATGCTAGGAATTAATTTCTAACAGAAAGGATGAGGATTTACAGAAAAATATGGGGACTTAACTATTTGAACAGGAAATTCATTTTATTTTTTGGTGAAACAGAATGCCTGATAATTCAATAACTTCTTTTCCTTATAGTCCTGGAATACACAGAAATGTCTTTTTGTGTTTGAATCAATTGTCCAAGTGAGCTACAGATTGTGTCTGAATGAAAACATGGTTTTATAATGCAGATAAAACTTCGTTGGGGAAGTTGTGGGAAATAGTAAGGGAATCACAAGTAGGAGAAGGCAACAGGTCCACACCCCCTTGCCAATGATAAGAAGCCATTTCAGTCTGCAGTTTGCCCCTGAGGTCAGGGGCTAGATGACAACTGGCAGTGGGTCACTGAGGCAAAGTGGGTATAGGAGCATGGGGTTCCTTGAAAGGGGAGAATCCCAGAAAGTGGGGGCATTGCTGTAGGACAGTATTAAAAGGAAAGAGCACCATGGGCTGAAAGGGACATTAGGCCTGAAATAGCTCAGAAGCTAAGTAACTGAGGGCGAGACCCTGGCCAGCAGAAGGCGCTCCAAGCCTGAAGAGCTAATTCTTTAGG